TTTGACAGCATCACAAGCATAAGCAATTCAGCCGATTTTCCAGCATCAACGAGCATAAGCAATTCAGCCGCTTTACAGAGTGTCAGACCCTCTCTGCAGGCAATTAAATCTGGCTCTGCTCTTTATCCCATACCCAAATGTTGATTTTCAGCACATCTTGTTGACGCCTGTGTGTGAACCTACAATTCAGTGAACAGCTGTAGACCAACAGGTCTGGGTTTACAGGAAGCGTCTTTGTCTCTCCTCCCCCCCCCCCCTCCTCTGTAGGCCTCGGCCTTGGCCTTATTGTGGTTGGGGGGCTGCCTTTGTAACGGGGAGGAAGTGAGTCCTTTCTGCAGCCTACTAGTTAGATCCCAGGAAGTGTATCCTGTTTAAACTCCCACCCTTGTCCCTCTCTGCCGTTCTGTCCTCCTCCACACTTTTGGCACAGCAAAGTGATTTCATTTTACTTGATTTTGTACAGTAGATTGAGTCATCCGGTTAACTCTTCCCCTGCTCTCGGAGGAGGGCCGCAGCAGACTGACGTCTCCCGGCTCGCCTGCTTCCAGAGAATGGTTAATCATTCAGTTCAAATTGAAATTTAATACGGATATCAAGTGAAGTCACCCGTATCGGGTCGGCCTGTTGCAGCTGTTAGGGCCGGTTTACAATTGCGGGAGCAGCGGCGCCTCATTACCGAGCTTTAAGTGTGTGTAATGGTAAAATTCACGATGTGTTATTCCGTATAAAATGAGAACATGGCAAAATGTTCCACTTATCTCTGATGTTCAGCTCATTTTCCTTGAATCATCCGCAGTAATGACCCGAATCTGTAATGTAATGTACACAGCGACGAGTTTAAAGGATATGCACACGTACACAGTATTTCTTAGTGGATTAAGACGCTTGCCAGTAACTTACTCACTTTTGCTAGGCCCTGCCAAGCTTATTGTCTTACAATCACGCCCACCCGGTTCAGTGTACGGCCACAGCGAGGTGTGGAGAGACCTCTCGCTGGGGCCTGAAATGCACTTACTGTGCGTACAATGAAACCTAAGGCGGCATCTTCATAGGGTCAGGCCTCCGACCGGGACCGCAAATGATCGGAGACCGAGGTTATTTTCAGCTGAGATTGTTTGTTTAGTAAACACAGCTGGAGATTCGGGACTGGATCTGGTCATTTTTAGTATCGCATTTCGTTTTTGTGGTTTTCTTGGCAAGACAATTCTTGTACTTCATTATGGTTATCTTTTATTTGAGCAATCTGTTTGTAACCATATTGATTTTAATACAGGTATTTCTATAGCGCTGACAATTTACACAGCAGTTTACAAATTGTACATTCACATCAGTCCCTGCCCTCAAGGAGCTTACAATCTAAGGTACCTATTTCACATACATACATACATACATACATACATACATACATACATACATACATACATACATACATACATACATACATACATACGCCAATTAAGACAGACAATTTTGCAACCAGCATGTCTTTGGAGTGCAGGAGGAAACTAGAGTCCCTGGAGGAGATCCAAGCAAGCACAGGGAGAACATACAAACACCATGCAGATAAGCATCCTGAGTCTGGCCGGGATTCGAACCAGGGACCAGTGGCGCAAGGCAGAAGTGCTAATCACGAAGGCCCCTTCCGCATGAACGCACGCTCTAATCATCAAGGTATCCGTGCACAGATCCCCTGCCATTTGGAGCAGTACGAAACAGTTGCCAATCTTGTGACATCCGTGGCCGTTCAGTTCTTTACTCCATCTTGCGATGGAGGAGAAAAACTAAACTTAATGGATTCATATTGGGCCCCTTTGGCACGGGTTGTCGTGTGTGCCCAGTGCTAGACTGTAGGCAGCCGGGTGTAAACGGACATGCACCCGTTTACACCTGGTTACCCACAACTCTAGCCAGGTCCGGAAAAACAAACGGAACAGATCGGGTGGTAATATCATGTAAATGGACACATGTCAGCTCACATCCAACTCCCCATAGACTGACATGGGGTCTGGCAGTTTTAGTTCTCTCCTCCATCGCAAGATGAAGGAAGAAACTGGACGTGCATGGATGTCACAGTGGTGACATCCGATTTTGTACTGCTCCAATCAGGAAGGGATCCATGCAGAGATCCCCTCCTGACTATCCTGTGTGAAAGGGGCCTTAGGTTTATGGCAGCCAGATGTAAAGGGATATGTGTCCCATTTACATTCCATTACCTCTGACCAGTCACGCTTGGGTCCAAAAACACTTTCTTTGTAACTGAACTGACTCCGAGGTAATCGGATGTAAACAGACCCATCGGTCGGACTTATATGCCCATAGGCTTCCGATCAGATTCACCCGAAAAACTGAGAGATTAACCTGATTGGACCCCCTCATGTGAAAAGGGCCCAAGCCAACCGTAAATAATGGTCAGATTCTAGATCAGTTTGTTTCCTTTCTACCAACAAACCTGTTTTTTTGTATCAAAGTGAAAAGAGTATCAATGTTGATTTTATATTTGTCTTCATTATTACCTTTTAAAAAAAATTAAACTCTATCTATTGGAAATCAAAGGCTGCTGGGCATATGTTTGGGCAGGTACAGTAACATATTAGAGGTGCAGGTTCATCACACACATCATGTAAAAACAAAAAAAAATTTCAGTTTGGCTTATTTCCTAAAATGTATCTATATTGAGGTTCCATGTGCTAGCTGAGGTCCTGTGGTGGCTTATATGAGGAGAGGACTGGTGTTATCAGTGCAAGGACTAGTAGTCCCAACGCAGGAGACAGGCAGAGACCCTGTGCTCTTGTTCTTTGGCTGTGTGCTTGGCATTACTCTTGACCATTGACCGTTGATTTATTGTCCAAAATATAACATCTTGGATGGCGGGTTTTTTTTTTTTTGCATGATCATTATTATTCTTTTAAGATCAAGCTGGCACTGAACAAGTCTGCACAGTGCTTCAGCATATGCTCTCAGGCAATATGAGCGAGCAGTTCTACACGGCATTCAAAAAACAAAAAAATTGTTGGCAATCATTCCTTATGCAAACTGCCATTTAGTATCTGTGACCACCCCATTGGCAGATCAGGTTTTGGTTACACTGCCAAAGCAAAGCTGAATGACCCAGACCTTCAGCAGTGCAGCCAAATGACTGGATTCTTCAGCTGTAATAGAAGCTGCAATACCGTGGCTGCATGTACCATAGCCGGCCTAGTTTTCCATTTATCTGCCATCATGGTTGCAGTCCTAAGGCGGTATATTTTGTTTCTCACCGGGGACAACTGATTCATTTCAAACTCCAAGCAAGCATATAAATAAACAGTTCAAATACATACATGGGAGTTGTTTTACCTGGTAAAGCATTTGTCATTTTGTGCAGCTGGTCTTGCAATCCAGATAGCACAACCAGGTCTCTTGTCGGAACCTCTGGACGGCTGCACAGCTTGGTCTAGAGCAGGCCTTCTTAAACTTTCTCCACTCGTGACCCCTTTTTGGGAGAGGACATTTTTAATGGACCCCAGCGTCGGACGGTGTCTCTCCCCTTTTTTTCCCCCAGCGTCGGTCAGTGTCTACCCCCTCCCCTAGCGTCAGTCGGTGTCTCTCTCTGTCGTCTCCCCCCGCCCCCCAGCGTCTGTCAGTGTCTCTCTCCTCGTCACCCGCCGCCTCCCAATGTCAGTCTGTGTCTCTCCTCCTCCCCAACTCTACCATGGACGGACGGTCAGTGTCTGTTATTACCAACTACTACTACTAAGCCCGCTCTTCCTCCTTACCTTTTACCTCCAGCAGCTGTGCTCCACTGCTGCTGTGTTAATGAAAGCTCCGTCCAATGTAAAAAAAAACCTTTCTGTGTGCACGTGCTCAGGAAGGTACCAAGTGCACGGGGGGCGTGACCTTTAAAAACGACACTACACTGCACATTAAACGAAAACAAAAAAAATCTGGTTTCGAGCCCAGGCCTCCCCGGCCGGGACCGCCATCAAGGGGGTACGGCCAGGGAGGCCTGGGCTCGAAACAAGATTTCAGATCGTGACCCCTCCTGTTCACTTGCGGGACCCCATATGGGGTCGCGACCCACACTTTAAGAAGCACTGGTCTAGAGCACGGCACCTTTTAAAAGTATGCAAAATCTCAAGGCACCCCAGTCTAAAATGTAAAAAAAAAACACGTGGCCTGTCCAAAATCCATACCACACCCTGATCCCAGATTGAGGTCTAGAATAGGGGGGGGGATGCAAAAATGCATTTTATAAATGGGGTTCTGCCCTTCACATCAGAGCCCTTCCTTTTTTTTACATTGAAGCCCCTTTCGTTCACATCAGTGTCCCCCACTTCACATCAAGAACTCTCTTCACATCAGAGTTCCCACTTCAAATCAGGAGCCCCCTTCACTCCTGTAGAAGCCTGTCTGCACCATAGAAATGCATGATACTGTAAAAACTTCAACGCACCACATGGTACCTTAGTTGAGAGGGGATGCCCCAACTTGGATATAATGAAAGAAACGCAGCACATTGAAGTGGTCTTCATTCCTCCATTCTGTCTGCATGTTCACTATTAACATTTGTGTTACAAATAACTTATGTGTTAAAAATTTTAATGCATTTTTATATGAACCTAGCGCAACTGCTGAATATGTGTGTGTGTGATTTATGTATATATTATATATTACACACACATACCTCACTTTAAGCTGTGGTACCCATTTAGATTACATTTATAGGGTTTATTGTAGAACCTAAAGTCAGGTGCCCCTTGTTTTTTGTTGGTTTCTTAACTTGACGCATGAGACCCGTTGTGTTTTTATAAAATGACAGCCCTGCATTGGTAATGGCTCTTATTGTCACCCTTCCTCACCCTACAGACTCTCGTACTGAGAAAGAGGACCAGACGAGGTGATGATTCCACGATGGATATGCTTTGTGGCCCTGTTGCTGAGAATAGAGGTCAGAGGGTGGAATCAGCTGCCGCGGAAAACTGTGCGCTACTCAGGTGAGGCATCGCGCTGTAGTACCGGTCCTTACTCTCGTCATATTTTTCCTGAAGAGGAACAAAAGCATTGCAAACAGTTGACTGATTAAAGCACAGCCTCCGTGGTCCTGCTGGGCCTGGATTATGTCACCTGTTTGTGTGTGCTTCAGGTTCCCCATGGAGGTGATGTCATGCTGTAATTATACCTCATATTATCCCTTGTGACTTGTAAGGCTGTGACGAATCACATGACCCATGGAAAGATGGCCGAGTGTAATCTGTAGGGAGGATACTGTTAATTTCTGTGTTTCTGTAGGATTGTCTGTATCTGTAAAGTAGCTTCTTGTCTGTAATATCGCATATCTTCACATTTCAGAGGTCTCTGAGATTCGCCAGTCCTGGCTCAGTGGTATCTCCCATTACCTGATATTGACACTGGATGAGCGTCGAGGGGCCCTGTATGTTGGTGCAAGGGAGGCCATATACGCGTTGGACCTTAATAATGTTGGAAAGGAATTGCGACCTTCGGTAAGTTTCTTTAGCTTGCAGTTTTAAGTAGCAAGAATTTTGTCTGGTTACTGACGAACTGGCCGGGCGGAAGGGCACCCTTCCGCCCGGCACGCCTCCTTCAGCTGATCGAAGGAGCCGGTTGGAAAATCCTTGGCCGAACGGAGCTTGCTGTCTTAGTACAATGCAAGCAGCGGGAGATTTGTCCATCAACACTCGTAAGCGTTAATGGAAGAATCTGTTCTATTTTTTTCATTCAGCCCGCGAGTTGAACGAAAAAAATAGAAATGTGTATACCGGACTTCAGTATTTAAGGCTTTCCATTGGTCTACTGTATGTACAACTGGTCACATTAGCAACACTCTAATACTGGTTTTCTTTCCTGTTCAGATTGTATGGGAAGCTCCATATGAAAGGAAGATGGAGTGTGTCAATAAAGGAAGGAACAATCAGGTAAATGCATGTGCAGGCAGTGATGCATCATATTACCAGTAAAGTATATTTCCACTTTTGCAGCCAAATTAAGAGAACTTCTATTTGATATTCATTACATGTTTCTCATTCACATAGCATAACTTATTTTTATTTTAAATTGCTGCTTGCACATTACATGAAAAAAAAAAAAATATCTTTACATATGCTGTGTGAATAGGAACACATAACAAACATGACGTTTTCTCAAATGTAACATTTAATTTAAAAAGTGGAAACACTAACTACTTTACTATCAATGTGCATAAATAAATGTCCAGTACTAAGGTGGTTGGAACCAAGATCTTGGTATTTTTCAGCTGCCACCTGGCTTGGTTGTTTATATTGTGTTTTGTGTGCACTAAAATTTATTTTAGTGTATTTTTCTCAATCTCCATTGCATTAATATTTAAACAAAAATATCGTGCTAGATTGCGTTATCAGTAATGATCAATAATTAAAAATTTCAATAGCATTTTTTTTGTTCTATAGGGCCTCTGCTTTCAGAAAATACATAGGTGTTTGGGGCGTTTTTAAGCAGTTTTCTAGCCAAACAATCTGAATTTTGAATGTGTGAAAAATGACAAAATTGCTCCGGTAGCAAAGCGGTTAAAGCATATCTGTTGCCCAGACATACGGAACATAGCCTGATCCGTTTACATGTGACATTACAAAATGGCAGCCCATTTTATCTACCCCCCTCCCTTTTTTTTTTTTAAAGTTGTAATTGAACTGAAAATGTATCGGTGTTCTCACTCCAATTCCTTTTTTATTTCAGACGGAGTGTTTCAATTACATTCGCATCCTGCAAGAATTTAATGACACTCACCTCCTCACCTGTGGGACGTATGCCTTTCAGCCCAAGTGTGCTTATATTGTGAGTACTCGACTTCATCGACAAGTTAATAAAGCAAAAGCGAGTCGACTTTCCTGTGCAGTCAGTCAGTGTTGCAGACAATCAATGGTTTTCTGTTTACCCAGCTGCCATACTCTGCCAACTGTGGACAGCCAAATGTGGAGCAAGTCATTGTTAGACCTGGTAGTGTCATTTGTCTACCTCCTGCTCTCATGCAGGCACTAATTGCATTGACTGACAAGTCTCCCATTCACCCCGTGCCCCCTCTGTGCTTGATTCTATATCAACGATGAGCTATTACCGCTGTCTGCGCATCCACTTAAAGTCTTACAAACTCCTTTTTTGTTGCTAGTGTGATAGTATGATGTTTCTGGAAAAACTCTTTTAGATCTGCAATTGTTAACCTCGACTCGCAGGGCTTCCTGCCAATTTGATTGTAGCAGTCTGCTCCTTTTTTGCAGTTAATTTGGGTTTTCTACACTTGTAAAGAACCCTGGCGGTCTAACGTCTTGTACATTTTGATGACCTTTTCTTCATTTCTTTCCAGGAGCTGTCAACGTTCACTTTAGATAGTGTTAACTTGGAAGATGGACGGGGAAAGTGTCCATATGATCCATCCACAGGCCATGCAGGGATTGTTGTAGGTGAGTACGAATGGCCAAATGTTCTGGTTTGTTGGGTAAACCTATTTATGTGCTGGGAAACCTTCCTCATTACTGCTTTTTAATTGCTTCCAAGACTGTTCTGGCCGAAAATGAGAGAAAATCCTATCTATTAGGGACTAGGGTGTCCATCAGACCTTGACAGATGCTCTAGCCCAGTGTTTCTCAACCATTTTTCAGTCACGGCAACAACAAAAAAAGGCAGTCACCCCAGTCTAAAACGTAAAAAAATAAGTGTTGCCCCTCCAAAATTCATAGCAGTCCCTTATCCCATATTAGGAGTCTGGTATGGATTTTCAGCGGGAGACCCCGCGCAAAAACACACAAAAAGATGAAGTTCTCCTGTCGCATGAGAGTCCCGCCTTCAAATCAGGAGCCCTCTCTTCACATCAAGAGCCCTCTTCCTATCAAAAACACCCCCTTCACATCAGGAGCCCTTCCTTTACTTCAAAAACCCTTTACTTCAAAAACCCCCTTTTCACATCAGATCCTCTTTAATATCTGGAGCCACAGCTGTGGAAGAAGGTGATAGGCGAAGCAGGCCTGGATGGAGGAGAATATTTTTGAATGGATCCCACCCTTCCTGGATTAGGGTCATTCATGTCCATGGTGTTGGCCAAAAGTGTTATGCACCCTAGGGTGCCATGGCACCCTGGTTAAGAGGATGCTCTAACCCTTCCTTGCTGTACCCAAAATGAAATAATACATTTTTGGATGCTGTTGGGCTTTAATGATCACTCTACAGGTGGTGGTCTTTGACGTTTTGGTTATGCCAGGTTTGCTTTAAACGTTTGTCAAAAAGTTATTGATTCTAGCGCTTTAGGACTCAATATGCTTAATATGTTACTTTTCCCTACTAACAACAGATCCAAAAATAAAAACATGAATTTGGAAGGGGGTAGGAAAGATATCAAAGCATGATCTAGTACAGCGAGCAGAACATGGAACCTGCTGCAGGCATGTTTGTAATATATCTCTTGCCTTCAGGGGCTAAGGAATAATTCTCACCATGCCCTGCTTTTCAGTGTCTCGGGAAGAAATTGTTCTTTTTCTTCCTGTAGTGGGGAACGAGAACTGGTTTATCAGCAACTAGAATACTCCGTTTTGCTAAATTAGTCATGGCGCTATGTGAAAGAGCATGGAATAGGCTGGGCTTTAAGTTGTGGGGGTTGTCTTGGAATATGAATATTGCTGATGTTGGATATGTATGGACAATGATACAAAAGGTCCCCAGCAGACTTTAGGTTTATATATCTAGATTGGTCTGTATTGCTAGTGTAGACTGGCCAATTTAAGGAGAAAGCAGTCTTGTTAAGGACACTCTGAGCAAAAGGCTAAATTCATATTCGATATAAATGTTTCTGTTTTACCTTCCAGCGGATTTTTGATTTGCTCACATTGGGGGGGGGGGG